AAGTCCGATGAGTGAGCGTGTCAATTGGGTAAGAACAAGCGAGCGGCAGACAGCATCTTACTTACGCTCGACCCTGGCTCGACCACAGTGGGGGGTGCCTGAGAGAGAGAGAGAGAGAGAGAGAGAGAGAGAGAGAGAGAGAGAGAGAGAGAGAGAGAGAGAGAGATTTCTTGAGATGTTTGCAAACCAACAAGATCAAGAAATCACGCCTCTGACAGTGATTCGTTTGGGCTCGGCAGCTTGTCAGCCCTCAGCCGAATTCTTGTTGGCTTCTAAAAATCTCCTGAGGGAGGGTGTAGAGGATGTAGAGTGTAGAGCGCTGTAGAGCTGTAGAGAACAGATGTAGAGCGCTGGAGAGCGCTGGAGAGCGCTGTAGAGCTGTAGAGCTTTACATCCGGCGCGTGACGATGTGAGTCGCCTGTAGAGCGATGTAGAGCGCGATTTTGCTGTAGAGTTTGTTGTAGAGGCTCTACTAACAGCCAAACCGCCGGGAAGGCAGTGACTCAAAGAGGTTGAGCCGCGCTAATGGGGTGTCTCCGAGCTTACTGGAGCTCTGATGGACAGCCCTGACTATCCCTGACACACAGAGAGTCACTCTGTGACGGCACACAACACCCTATGACTGCGTCATGACCAGCCTGCCATGCGTCGCCGGTGCCGCATTCGTCGCTGTGCTTCTTTAGCAGGCGGTGGACTGTCGGCTGCGAGGACGGTCGCATTTGCGCGAGGCGAGGCGAGCATTCAGACGCGTTGCATGCGCCATGACTCGCGCCAGCGCGTGCGGGAGCTCCTGGCTGAGCGTTGAGTCCAGGCGAGTTGCGCTGGCCACTAAGCACTATCGCTACGCCGAGCCGAGCTGACGCGCCGAGGCGCCGGCCAGTCGCAGCCGTGAGGCATGCCACAGCAGCAGAGGCACCTCCCACCCATTGGGCGGGCAGACAGAAGGCCAGGGCAGCACTGGCAAGTGCAACGCGCCTCATGTCGGAGCGACCGTGCCTCGTTCGCCGCTTATGATGTAGAGTTTGTTGTTAGTATGATAGTAGTGTGACAGTTTGGTCGGAGGGCGCCCGGGTCGCCCCGGAGCGGCCCCGCGCGGGGAGGTGGGTGGAGGGCGGGCACCACGCCATCGGGCAGGCCACGCGGGGACGCAGCCGGGGCCAGCGCGCGGCGCTAGAGGGCCGGGCGCAAACTTGTGGCACCTGCACCGGCACCGGCACCTGGGTGCCGCGAGTTTTGGTGGTTCGAAAAGCGGAGCGCGCAGTCCGTTGTGGCTCGAAACGCGATGCCTCCGCCGGGAGACACGGATGGCGCCGTCAGGAGCGACGAGGCTGGCGAGGCGCCGCATTCGGTCGTCGTCCTGCCGGCGACTAGCGATCTGAGCAGTACATTGAGGCCGTTGGTGGAGAGAGAGCGTCGCGAGCGAGGTGACGAGGATGGAGCTGTGTGGGTGTAGCCGGTCGAGGCATGGCCGCGTCGTCCACGACGAGGCGTCGGAGCAGGGCGAGACGTCGAAGAGCCGTGACGGTGATTCTCGGGCCGAGGCCGATGTCTTATAGGGAGGAGGTGACTTGTCAGCGCCTTCGCAACGCGGTTCAATTGTGGACGAAGACGTACACGGAGATGGGATGGTGCGACGACATGCGGGACAAGCTACGACTGCACATGCTGCTGCATGCTACATGTTCGCACCGCGAGGTCAGAGATTTCATTCACGTTGTAGAGCGCCTCTACATCGCTCTACAGGCGACTCACATCGTCACGCGGCGGATGTAGAGCTCTACAACAGCTCTACAGCGCTCTCCAGCGCTCTACATCTCTACAGCTTGAGCACTTGAGCACTGGATAGGGTCGATTCCGCATGGTACGGGACCCCTCGATCGTCTCGCCCTCCCTCACTGGTATGTTCATTGGGGGGGGTCATAACAAACACGGTACAGCTCTACAGCGAGCGCTCTACACTCTACATACATCCTCTACACCCTCCCTCAGAAAATCTCTCTCTCTCTCTCTCAGCCGAAGCTGGGGCCGGTCCCGTACTCCCCTCTCCCGTAGCGCGTAGCCGAGAGACTTGGAGCACTTGGAGAGAGCCCGCGTCGATGAATTCGACGCGGTCGGGAGGACTTGCGGAGAGACCAGCGAGTTTGCGCTAGTTTTTTCTTTTGGTCCCTGTTAAACATTACCCATGAGTGATGGGAGGACGAAAAGAAAGAAAACACGAAGCCCCGACGTCATCTTCGCCCTCGCCCACTCACCGAGAATGATTGTTGCCGCGCGCGTGATCCTCCCAGAGACCGCTCAGAGCGGACCTTAAATACCTTCGATGTCTGACGAGGAGCAGCTGGCTGGACTGATCGAGCAAATCGAGACGCTGGACCTCGAGCCGGCCATCCTTGAGCAAGCTGGGCTTCGCCTCTTGAATCTGGCGCGCCAACGCGTGTCGTGTGAGGCGA